CGCTTTGGGTCTAAGCATCCGGACCTGGCAGGGCCTGCCGCTGAGTTCTCTGTAAGAAGCGCTCCTTACTTGGTGCTCGGCTGCAGGACCTGTTGGGAACGGGTGCCTAGGACAAAAGTGTGTGGCCCCGTAGGCCCAAAGTGGCCAGACTTACAGGTCCATGCTTTGGGCCTACACACCTGGGCCTGTCAGGGCCTACAGCCAAGCGCCAAATAAGGAACACTCCTTACTTGGCACTCAGTTACAGGAACCCCCGTGCTTTGCGTCTACAGGTGCAGACTTTGGACTACAGGCACTCCTGTGCTTTGGGCCTATGGGTGCAGGCTTTGGACCTACACGCCTGCACCTAGCAGGGCCTGTAGCCGAGCAACAAGTAAGGAACATTCCTTACTTGGGGCTCAGCTGCAGGCCCTGCCAGGCCTGGGCACGTAGGTCCAAAGCCTGTACTCATAGACCCGGGTGCTTTGGGGCTACGGATGAACCCCCCCCCCCAAATAATGGGCCGAAAGAAAATTGATCTTTTGGCACTGAAAACAGAAAGCAAATACCTGACCTCCCGGTTTCTGGAGGCTCAATCGAAATGGATTGGGGCCCTGACCAAAAGCCAGGACACAAAATGGATCAAGGTTTACCTCGAATGCACATGACTAGTGTCTAGAGCAGTACAGTGACATCAGGGAGTGGGACTCCCAGCCTCCTTCCAGTCACTCTTACTATGTTCAAGCTGATCATTTTCCTTTTATATTATAGTTACATTTGCCTTTTTGTTTTTAATGTAGGAATTGTGTGGTTGTGCTAAAAAATAAAAATAAAACATTATGGAACAGTGATAGTGTGGGCAGGCCGGGTTATGAAGATGTGCAGAAGTACATTTTCAGGCCTATGAATTGACAAATGAGCACAATTGCTCTATTGAACAGAGATACAATGTTGAAGATGTTCATGTCAGTGTGTATCCGCTATCAATAATAATGTTGCTATAATGGAATAGCGGGTTTGTGCAATAAAGTGCATAATTAAAATAATTGAACACACATTTAAAATGTAATTTTAAAAGTTCAAAGCACAGTGTATCTTACTAAAAACAAAGAATACCTGTCACATGAGTTTAAAGGACCAAATGCCTACCCCAATATAAAGGTCTTTCCCTGACAATGGAAAGAGAGCAGAGGGAGCCAGCCAAAGCTCACATTGGTTTCTTTAAAAATCAATCACTTTAACTAATAGTTGGGCCAGTTCTGAAAATCTGTATGTATGTTTATTTGCTCCTTTTACTAGCAAAGCTTTAGACTTTAGGAAGGAGACTAGCGTAATTAGATTGGCAATATGTCAAATGGAGTCCAAACCATTTTCCAGTGAGGAGATCATCCCTACTCAGAGACTAGAGATAAAAGCCAGGCTCATGTCAGCCCTAGGAGCTCTACTGTACATCCACTTTGAGAAAATAAAATGTCACTCATCACATTAGCAATGCAAGTTATGAGAAATTGTATTTTTCCCTCAGAAATCACCTACTGGTTCTCAATTTAGGGAGACACACAGTTAAGCTAGTAGCCTGGCAACAGAGTGACCTTGTGCTCTGCCGGGTTTTCAACATTTTATTAGCCACACTGGACTCTCTCCATCATTCTGCCTTTTCCTTATTGCTGAGCCCCTCATTAGCGCAATTAATAAGCCGCTTCTGTCAAGGCAATCAAATGGAGGGATCTACAGCAGCCAAAGGCTTTGGCAGATCAAGTCGGGGGGATTCCGGGTCAAACTGAGGAATTATAGGGAAGGCTTTCATCTCCCTCCGAGGGCCCAAACAGGCCTAGAATTGTAGGGCTGGGATTCTCTCAGGTCATGTTTGTTTAATGCGGCCTTTTTGGTAGAATAAATCAGTCCCCCTTGTCATTTTGGATAATGTCACAGGTTCATTGGAGAAAACTTGGCAGGACACCCTGATATTATTAGTGATGGGGTCCACAAAGCCCCATGGGAGATAATGTCTTGGACTCAGCTTCCCTTTCAGATCACACACACGTCCTCATGCTCTCATACATACTCATAAGGTGCACAATAGGCCTACTTTGTTGTGGTTCATCCCAGGGCAGGTCCTGAAAGGTATCATGGACATGGTGCCAACTAAGCACATAGAGGCGGGTGAAGCATTGAGGAATGATCTGTTGTGTGTCTGTATCTTGGATAATGTCCTCAGATGCCACAAAACCAGTAACCCAAATGTGCTCATAGACTCTACAGTATATCTTAGGGCATAAGGGTATCCACAGCTATTGTGGGAATCTCCAGGGTTGGATTCATTCAGAACTCCATGCTGTCTTTTTAAATTAGCCCTTTTCCCAAAGAAATCTTCACAACTTACACAAACTGAAAGCAACTCTTCTCTCCCTTCCTAGGAAAAATGCATCTTTGATTTGTTCCAGGTTTATTCTTTTCGAATGGTTTCAGAAGCCCCATTCAGGAGTTGCCTCCAGATTTACAGGGCCAGCGTAGAGAGGTATTCACTGAATACGGCCCCACAATTCTGGACATTAACTATATATGGAGTTCCATGTGTGGGACCAACAAGATGCAAGACACCAAGGACAACTTGGAGAGATAATAATGTTGGACTATTAGTCTTAGAATCCCCACTAGATATGGGATTATTCTGGACCAGGGGCAGAGAAGGCATAATCCCATACCCTTTGTTTATCTGGCATCACCATCCCAGAGAAGTTGGAGACAACTCCCAGAGGAGTTAAACACCATCTCGAGAGCACCAAATTAAAGGAAGCTAATTTTGTCTTACTGTGTTTTTGTATGTTACCTTCAAATTGTTACAGTCATTTCCTACAAAAGGAATTAGGTCAGTGTGGGCACTGAATGCAGCAGCCTCATGGTTTCAAAGCAGGACTGTACCTGATCAAGGCCAGAGGGACTTCAGTGGTAGAGGCAGGGTTGCTACTCTCACATAGATGTCCCAGTCTGACAGAGAATGTCCTAATTAAGCCTATGCCATCTAATTTTTTCAACCATTTTTAAAATTACAAAAGCATTAGATTACATGGATTTACTTAGTTACTGTTAACAAGCAATTCGGTAGAGTGGGTTGTTGTGAGTTGTTCAGACTGTATAGCCATGTTCCAGGAGCATTCTCTCCTAACGTTTCACCTGAACCTGTGGCTGCCATCTTCAGAAGATGCCTATGAAGATGCCAGCCACAGGTGCAGGTGAAACATCAGAAGGGAATGCTACTGAAACATGGCCATACAGCCCGAAAAACTCACAGCAACCCAGTGATTCTGGCTATGAAAGCCTTCGACAATTCAGTATAATACTCAGATTAACAATTGCACATTAAAACAACAAAAACAATGTCATTGTTGCATTGCTTGTTGAACTGCTCATTGCTTTTTAGTTTACTTCTCTTGCATTTCTGATTGGTTAATGAGAAAGTGGCTTGAAACTTGAAAAATTCCAGCAAAATACCAGCAAAAAGGCCCTTTAAACATATTTTTGCTATATCAATGAAGCAATGTTCTTTACGCACAATACTATTTGTGGCATGTAGTTTTGTTATGCCCTCACCCCCCCCCCCCCCCAAGTAACTTGCTACTAGCAAGTGTTACTAATAACTCATTACTTTGGGGCATGTTATTGTGCAAATATAAGGATGAGGATCATTTAATCCTCCAGATGTAATTGGACTACAGCTCCCAGCAGGGCAAGCCAGTGGCCAATGTCAAGAAATCCTGCAGCCCATAACATATGGACGACCCTATGATCACCACCTCTATGTCAAACACATTTCCAAAAAAGCTCTCTTCCCTATCAAGTAAGCATGTGCCATTATGTACAGGCTTCTAGCTGTACGGCCGTCAGTACATCTCCAACTTAAAGAAATAGAGTTAGAACAGTGAGAGATTGATTCTTTGGAAGTTGCCTTTCAAAAAGACAACTAACCGGAGAAGGCCACAGTTCACCTAGTTTCAGTTTTCTGCAAAGAGACATGTTGTAATTTGTTTGATAGGTACATAGACACACATACAGACATACCACCTTTTACCCACTTTAAGATTCAAGCAGCTTACAAGAGTTAAAACAAAAAGATCACAGCATACATACAAAAATATACCTAAAATATCCAAAAATTTAAAAAGAACTTTTAACAGCAAATGTTGGTTGCAACTAGAAGCCAGGCAATTACTTGCTGCTGCAGTGAAGTAATTAAAGAGTTATAAAACATTAGCAATTAAAAAGAAAACAAGAAATAGACAAGGCAGCATGATATTCATGTCTTGTTTTCCCCCCGAGCAGTCTTCAATAGCCAGCTAAAGCACAAAGCCAAGACCAAATATCAAAGAAGGATGTCAATATAACTTCTTTGGGAAGGGAGTGCCAGAGCCTGGGAGCAGCCAAGACCGAGAAGACAACTTCCACAGAAGATTTCAAAATCAATTAGAAATGTTGCATTTGTAATTATATTATAGCTGCTCTAAATTTGCACCCACATATATGAATTAACATGTACAAATCTGTTTCTCCTTTTGTCCTCTTTGTGGTGAGAAATATCTTTCTTTTTCTTTGTGTTGTTATGCAGAACTGGCCACCCTAGTGTACTGACACAATTAATGATTGTCACAATTTTGCTAGATCTCCATCCCTTTGATGTTTAAATAGACTTAGACCTCATGCTGATTTCATCATTTGTGCATTCTAGAACCTCGGTTTAGTTTTAATTAGGGTTTTTCTTATGGAAATAGATGAAGGAAGCAACAGAAAGATATCAATGGCTGAGAGAAAGTATAAGTATAACATCAAACTTCTTTGGGAAGGGAGTGCCAGAGCCTGGGAGCAGCCAATGCTGATTTCAT